TGCTAGACTTTGTTTGTGCTCAGCTCCTGAAGGAAGGACTGAGCTCAGCGATTGGGTTCTTGCCCAGCCCTGAGGCAAGGGCTGGCGCCCACAATTCCCTATCCCTGAGTATTAGGTGCCCCGCCCTGAGCTAGGGTTTGGGCCCATCTAACCGTGTGCTTTTGTTTAGCCCCTGCCTGAGGGGCGGAACCCCGGGACTTTTGGACCCCAAGGACCGATTTGGGGCGTGTAGTGAATCGGCCTGGCACCCGACGGCCCCTGAGAGGGCCCAGCCCCCGCACCGGACCATTACACTCACACACACCAATTAATTAAAAACCCAACACCCCTATGAGGCTGGTAAGGGATACATAGAAATCACTTAATCCAGCATTATAAAACAGCTGAATGTGGGGTGGAACACATCAATGGTTTAACACTGCACAGCAACACGACACGATAGCTTAAAGCACTAAAGGAAGGAAGAAAACAATATACAATTGGAATTGCCAAGGAATACAGTTGGGGAGAATGTAATCGCCCAAGTATGAAGTTTGGCCCGGACATTGGGGTAAACACTTCTACTCTTGCAAAAAAATGCAAAGCAATCTTTAATGACTTCAAGTGACCAGGACCTCAGTTTTACAGCTTATCCAAAAGACAGCACCTCCAGCATTATAGTGCCACATCATCATCCTCTTGGACTCACTGATCTCGTGTAGCAATACGTTCCATGAAGGAGGCAAGGAATAAGGAGGAGAGAAAAATACTTAGGATGGGTGGAAAGGTCCATTCAGAAATACTCAAGGAAATAAGATGTAAAATGGGTAACACTGGAGCCCCCAGTGGTGGTGGTGGTGGGGGGGGAGGTCAGCAAAAGCAAGGGGGAAAAAGGAACAGGAACCCATTACAGTACATGAATTGTGTAGAGGATAACACATGCGAGACAGCAGAAGATAGAAAATAAATCTGTCATTGAATCCTGCTGGTGGGTTAGAGGATACCTTTGGTGTGAACAGTTGTCAGCATATCAGAAGCATGTTGGAAGGACATGACAAACAGATACTGGGCGCAGTCCTGCTCCCCTTGAAGTTTGTGGGAGTTTTGCTATTGGTTTTGATGGGATCGGGATCAGGGCCATTATGGGTTCTGAAAGCGAGCATACATTTTATACATCTCCTACTGTAACTGCTCTGAAGTCTTTTCTGAGGGAGCATGCTATTTGGTTATCTCTGCAGTCTGTATAGTTGGGCATCTTCTGTGAAAAATTGAACACGCCACATGGATATGAATGTAAATCCTCAGAGATTCTGAAAAACATTTATGAGATGGGGGGTATCAATACCAGAAGCGGTGACAGTGCAAGCGTAACAGGTTCCAATCCAGAACTTGGTGTCTGGTTGGGTGCGGTGGGTCTGGGAGTTGAAGCTCTATGGGGCTCTGTCAAAAGAAGCTTGGACAGGACATGTTATCTACAATGTAAAAAAGGGGAGGTTCTGGCTGGTGGTGACCTGAAAACAAAGGGAGTGGGTGGTTAAAAGTTGCAAGGACCATTCAGCATTCAGGAAGTGCCCTTCCCACAACTGTTTCTACACATCCCATGGAGAATTTTATTTGAGCCTGCCTACAAAAGCCTGCTTGATCTTAAACTGGGATGTGGGCAAGGGCATCTCCATACAGGGTGAAGGTGCTGTGAAGACCACCTTAGGTGTCCATGAGCCACATTCAGCTCTTAGCTGTTACACATTGACTTTAGCGAACGCACAATTTGAGTTTATAGCAAACTGATGTTCATGAACCAGCACAGTGAATTATTGTTATTTTATATTTATATAGTACCCAGAACATCCTCAGACATAAAGGATGTCACATACCATCAAAGCTAGGTCTTCTTAAATCAAGAAAGAGATTATGTGGTATAGATTGTCAAAAGCAAAGAAAATATCTACCTGGTGAAATACGACTGTAGCCAATGCCTTTCATCTCTGAAAGACTTGGTAGTCAAGACCACCTTAGAAAATCTACTTTAACTAATTATTAAGTTTAAGAATCAAAATGTGATTTCTGATTAGTTTTAGCTTAGTGTGTTTTGATACACGTTGTACACATGTAATCATCTGAGTACATATATATGAAAAGGTTTACATTTTTACTGAGTTTTGCAGCCTCATTGGCGAAAAGAGATGCAATATACAAATATGTTTGTCCGCTCAGTTCCATTAACTAAATGAAGATTACTGATCACAGGGATCATATATCTTTTTAGAGATATTAACCAGTCAAGTAATTTTTACCCATGTAGCCTCAAACTAATGGGGCTTCTTGCATAAGGGACTACTCCTTGTGTGAGTAAGGGTTTGCAAGATCAGCCCTTTTTGTCTCAGTGCATTAATTTTCGTGGGTTATTGCCAAAGAATTCAAACTATTACCGTTTGCATATTATTGTGGCAAATAAAATTAGTGTCAGGCAATCAGAAAAGCCCATATTTACTGCTAAAACCCACACACCTATAAAAGTTGGCTGAAGAAAAAACACAGCTGTTCCTTTGCCAATCAGAATGCTGCTTTGCAGTGGTCATTGTCACACACAAAGGTGTGTTAGAATAAACGTCTGCAATGTTGAATTATTTAGTTTAACAGACAAAGTTAATTGGAATAAAACTTTGTGACCAAGATAACAGAACATCGAAGACTTTATTTGAATCATCTTTGCCTCCATGTTTTAGGTCTGATAAATGTTTCATCTTTCATTTATCTGGCAGGAGAACATGAGGTTGTGTCACTGATTTATGCCACTGACACTATTATCTCCTTAATGGTTTTGGCTCAGTAAGGTACTTAAACACATGCCTAACATTAAAACCAGCAAACAGTGCCATTGACTCCAATGGGACTAGTGCTCCAAGGTAAACGTGCTCAAGTACCTTACTGATCAGGACCTGTATTCTTAGTAGGATTGCCAACAAAACCGAAGGAAGAAAATGCTTCAGAATTCAGAACTGCAAATCTCCAATCTCCTTTATATCAACTGTGAACAGCGTCATGAACCAGCTTCCTCGCGGCCTTGCTAATATTAGTATCTGGAAACCAACCAGCTGAGTAAAAACTAACCCCACGTAGGGCTGCAAAGATGCTGATAGGACAAGGGGAGCACTTGGAAGAACCTGACTCTCTAGCACAACCCCCACCATCAAGGGCATCTGTCCTCAAATTGTCAAGTCAGGCTACAGCCCTGGAGTCCTTTTGGCCTCTTTATTGCTACTGGGTGCTCAAAGAGACATGGTGGCAAAAAAAAAAAAATCACCCACTTCCCCCCGTGACTGGCCCGAAGATGCACTCCGTCCCATTAGACACAGTTCAGGCTGCGGAGATTGATGCATTTTGACCCCCAAGCTTGTACGTTGTGACTCCTATCTAGGAATGAAACCACATACCCCCAAATGCGCCAAGTACCACAAAACACAGGGGCCCTTCTGCTTATTAACACAGGTGCCCACGAAGCACATTGCTTTGCGCGCTGTCTCCTTGGCTCCCCACTGAATCTAGAGTGCAGTTCAAGGTCTCTGTCCTGACATTCAAAGTCCTCCATGGGATTGGCCCAAGCCACCAGAGAGATTGCTTCTTCCTCTCCCAGCCAGGCCCTCCACAACAGGTACCGTTCCTCCAAAACAACAGAACCGTCAACCAACAGGGGGAAGCTCCTCAGCGCAGGAGACAAAGACTGGCTTCGCTCACACAAGAGAAAGAAAGCGAGCTAGAGAGGAATATGGGGGGAGGCGGGGAAAGAAACCTTTGCTGTATTTTATCACGCATGCTCCTCATAGCGATGCCAGTCAAGATCACAGACTGGGTATTTAAGAATACTTTAATGGAAAGGAAAGATCGGCCCTGACCCTTTGGTTCTACAGATCAGGAGCATACAGACTGTATTCTATACCGCAAGAAGGTCGCTTATCCACTAGGTCAAAGAGAGGCATGCAGGTGTGTGCTCTCCTGCTTTACCCCTCTTCAGTTACTCAGCAGTTGTAAAGAGGTAAAGTGTGAGGGGAGGTTTAAGATCAAAGGCTGACTTTGTCCAGAACATTATTGTGTTTTTCCAGTGTTGGGGGGAAAGGGGGCAGAATACATTAAAAAGAAACAAAAACCCACCCACCCAAATCCTTTGCCAAGTGTACAGGTGAATTGACAGGAGAAGGTGTGCTGCTGGGTTTGGAATTCCCTCTGTACGAGAGAGGGGTTTGAGCAACAAAATTTAGAGCCAAATGTGAGCTCCCCAGAGTTGGAGCTGGCCTTTCACAGCTATGGAGCCGGTGTGCTGGGGGGAGTCCAGCCCCCTTCCTGTGCATACTGGAGAGGGGTGAATACTATGACACTGAAATAGTCACCACTCCAGGCACAGCGGTGGGACAGGCCAGAGGCCGGGGAAAGGGACGTCTCTCGAACTGCCCAGCAATGCTCCACCTGATGCCCAGATGGGCCGAGCTAGGACACGGCTTGGCAGAGCAAAGGGACGAGGGAGGGCTCCGCAGGGAGGACCTGAGCAAACCGAGTCCGGCTGCTGCTGCTCTCCTTCAGGAGCCCGTGGCGGGCAGTGGCTGCGGGACCGCCCAGGGCTGGCTCTCACCACCGATCAGCCCCCAGGGACAGTGACCTTGGCAAGCTGCCCCCAGGGGCTCTCCCCGGCCACTCACCATGATGGAGAAGACGAAGGCCACGATGTTGATGGGGTACGCGGGGCAGAAGCAGGAGAAGATGCTGAGGACCAGGTAGTTCTGGGGCATGGGCTCGGCCTGCGGGGGCTCATGCTGGACGCTGGGCTCGGGGCTGCCGTGCCAAGCCCGCTTGAGGTCCGAGCTGGCGGCGGGTTCAGACATGGGCAGCAGCCGGCGCTGGAGGCTGGGGCGGGAAGCGCTCGGCAAAAGGCTCCGCGCTCTGGGCTGGGAGCTCCGCGGGAGGGTCTGAAATCCCAGCGCAAGGCTCAGGGGAGCCGTGACCTCACCCCGCATCTCTCCTCCCCCGCCCCCGGCTGCAGGGAAGGGAGCCAAGAAAGTCCGCCCGAGAGACACGCGGCGCGGCGCGGCGCCTCCTCAGCCGGAGCCTCATGCTACGCGCCGCGGAGCGGGGCATGGGGCAGGGGCCGCTCCGTCTTGTGACCCGCGGGCTAGCGGCCCCGCCCTCGCTCGCCCTGGGCCGAAGGGGAGTAAACACAGGGGCCGGGCAGGACAACATCGGAAGGGGGCGAACTTGTGGGGAAAGGGGGGGGGGGGGGGGGGGCAAAATGGGGGGGGCGCGCGGGGCTTGTGCGTCTCCTTGGCGGGAACCCCCTGCACGGGGCTGTGGCGAGAAAGCCACGATCGTAGCCCGGTGCGGCGCCAGCCCAGGGCTTCCGTTCCCGAAAAGCGGAACGCAGCTGAACGCTAGAGATGTAAGTCACTGAAACTCCCCCCCATGAAACACGGTCTGATGCGGCGCATTCCCGTCCCTGCCGCGCTCAGCAGCTTCAAGGAAGCCAAAACGACCAAACGTAGCCAGCCGCCTGCAGAGTGGGGCCAGGCACGTGGGGGGAGCAGCCGGGCCCTTGGCCCTGGCCAGCACCAGCGGCTTTAGAGAAAGGTGTAAGACCCCTGGGGGTGGGAGGATCTGCCCCACAGACTAAGCCTTAGGCTGAGCTCGAAGCCCCAGAAGTTGGCTTCTTAAACTCCAAAGGTTTAATTTCCCTACCACCACTTTATCCTCATGAATTGTAACAATTTTGGATATTCTTGTTATCCCGGTAAAGGTCCAATCCCTTTGTGAATCTTTGCCTCTGTGCCTTCTGGTGGCCTCGAGTCCCACAGTCGAATGTCTTGTGTGGAAAAAGTATTTCCTTTTATCCCCTTTGAATGGAATTGAATGGTTCAGAGGAGCCAACACAAACCCCTTGAATGTAGAAGGCCCCAAACGTTTTGGTTGGTCTCAGCAAACCGACTATTCCTGCTGGTTGCTGTAGCCACCTCTGCACATGGGATCCATACTATTTCGCTTTTTGGGTGGAATATTTTATTACTTTCAGCAAGGTCATTTATTTTTAATGAATAAAGATCTGTTTCAAACACGCCCATAAAGCCATAATGGTTTTCAGGCTGATGAGAAGAGACATGATGAATTTCATCCAGGCTTCATTCCGAAGCCAGGCCCCAGCGCTGCAATGTGGTGTTGATAGAGCCTGTACTGCTACAGCACAGTATACACCCCCTACTATCCAAACCGCTGTGTTCTCCAAATCCCTCGTCCCCCATGTGTCTCATGCTGGGGGACAAGGAAGGGATTCGGAGAGTAGAGCAGATACCCCCAGCCAGGAGGGGTATGGAAGGGAGCCCTCTGCCGCCACGTTGTCACAGGAGTGAGTGAGCGGAGCAGAGACCCCCCAACCAGGAGTGTGAGGAGGAGCCACTGGTCGCTGGGGAGGCCATCCTGCTGCTGAATGGCTCCTGCCCTCTCACTTATCTGAACTCCCGCTTATCCAAAGAGAATCCACATCCTGCCTGCTATCTGGGCAATCAGGAGTATACAGTGTCAGAGCGTCCCAGACTTGTACGGTGCTTCGCCTCACAACAGCAGGGCGAGGCAGGGAAGTGTTATTTCCTCTGAAAATCAGGTTGTAACAGGGGCAGCTCACGGGCAGACCACCCCCACTTGCTAGGATGCAATGTTGCAGGTGTTCTTCCAGTGTAATGCCCCCTACTGTTCTGGGTCTACAGCCGACCACAGCTTATGTGGCCCTACCCTCCAGCCAGGTCAGCTTTGAAGTTCAGTCACTTTTGGGGTAACAGAAAAGTCCAAACAAATGAACCCCCTGAAAATAATGGCCTTTATGCTCAGCCTTCATCTTCCTTTGCCTCTTTTAACCTGGGGATTTTGTTACTCCTCTTGCTGGGGGAGGGGATGGGGACCCTGCGTTAGGCATTAAGGATTGCTCCTTACACTTGTTGCCTGATTTTAGGGGCATAAATATGATTGTTTATACAATAGGCTTGCCAATTAATCTGATCAGAAGATAACAAGGTTCTCGTCCCAGCATCAGGCTACACAGAGTTTTGCAAGGACCCTCGGTTTGTATGACCAGGACACTCATGCTCAGAGCAAAAATACAGCCTTTAAGACTGTTATTGAGATAAATGGACTAGTAATCAAATGGAAAAAGTAACCAATCAGAATGACAAAGGAAATAATACTGTTAGAGGCATAGGCGCCGACTCCGTGGGTGGAGCACCCACAGAAAAAAATTGGTGGGTGCTTAGCACCCACTGGCAGCTCACCGTGGTCCTGCCCTGCCCCCCAGCTCTAGCTCACCTCTGCCTCCTCCGCGAGCGCGCCGCCGGAGGGAGGGGGAACGCGGCGTGCTGAGGGAAGAGGCGGGGCCAGGGCGGAGATTTGGGGAAGGGATCCAATAGGGGCAGGGAGGGGGCGGAGTTAGGGCACAGACTTTGGGGAAGGGGTTGGAATGGGGGTGGGGCCAGGGGTGGAGTCAGGGCGGGGAAAAGTGCGGGGGGGTGCGGGCACCTACCGGCGCCGGAGAAAGTTGGCGCCTATGGTTAGAGGTACATGTGGTATTGTTTACTATAAAGCTTCCTAGATTAACATACTCACACCCTTCCTTGGTAACTTGGTGGTGAGAGACAAAGGACCAACCTCGCCTCTGGCATGCCAAAGAGTCCGATGGTCCAGGTTCATCCACGCTCGAGTGGGAGATGAAGAATTTAGGAGCAGTGAGGGAGCTAGAAAGCTATAGAAAGACCCAAGAGAAACTAATTAAAAAGCTGACTAAAAAACTAACTAAACATGGGGGTTTGCTCCTCGTAGAGAGCCTGAGCACTCTGTGCCCACCCTCCATGTCCAAACTTAATGTCCTCATCCCCATAATATCAGGGTACACTTATTTTATAGGCTGGCATGTTCATAAGTATTAATGACAATTAGCTCATCCTCACCTAGTCTGAACCAGTTTGGTGGTAGTGATTTCCATGTTCTTTGTGGTGTACCTGTGTAGTTAAGTTTATGGAGAGCAACCAGTCGGCCACTTATCTATGCCAAAGGTCACAAATATAAGTAGGCTAACTTACTTTAGCTCATCTTACAGGATGTGGCCTGTAGGTTCCCTGTGTTACTGCCAAAATACTCTAGTACAAATCCATAAATCTATTATAATAAAACAAACAACAAATCCGTAAGAAAGGGTATAACACACCAGCAAGAAGGCTAGCCCTATGGGCTACGCAATCCACCGTGCCATCCATGGGCTGCTCTTACCTTTCCCTGTTTGCCAGGGTCTCTCACAGGGCTGCAGACTCTACCACTCCCACCCTGGGCCTTCTGTCTCCTGGGGCGGCTTCTTCTCAGTCTGCCACTTTCCTCAAGGCTCTCCGGCAGCCTCCTGACTCCAGAGTCTTCCCCTGCTTTGCCTCAAGCCTGTCTTTGTGGAAGGCCTGCCCCCCCCTCCCCTTTTCTCAGGTGGGCCTTATAGTAATTTGGGCCTGACACTCCCCCACCAGGGGTAACCCGGTGGGCTAATTAGGCCCTCAGGCTCCTGTTACCCCTTTATATGCCAGTATGAGCCATATACCCCATCACAAGGTCCTACAGCGAGCCAGTGTCAGAGCATCATGAACAGAACCAACCACCCTCACTTCCAGCCCTCTGCTCAACCTCCAGTGTCCCCCATGTGAACGGAGGAAAGAAAGTCTAAGAAATAATTTTCCGAGTTGAGAAACTTGGGTTGATTTGGAGATGAGAAGCCCTGCAAACTTTATCGCCACAGGACAGGTTTGCTATAATGGCCTATTTAGAAAAAGGGTTGTATGAAAGGCCTACCCCAGCATTCCTTTGTGCACCTAAAATTCCTGTTGCAGTCAGTGCATTTATAGATTCGTAGGCCAGATGGGACCATTGTGATCATCTAGTCTGACCTCCTAACACAGGCAATAGAACTTCCCCAAAATAATTCCTAGAGCATAACTTTTAGAAAAACAACCAAACAATTTCAAAATTGTCAGTGACGGAGAATCCACCATGACCCTGGTAAATTGTTCCAGTGGTTAATTACTCTCACTGTTAAAAATGTACACCGTATTTCCAGTCTGAATTTGTCGAGCTTCAACTCCCAGCCATTGCATTGTGTCGTACCTTTCTCTGCGAGAACCCATTATTAAATCTTTGTTCCCTATGTAGGTCTGAAATCAAGTCACCCGTTAACCTTCTCTTTGGCAAGATAAATAGATTGAGCTCCTTGAGTCTATCACTACAATGCAGGTTTTCCAATCCGTTAATCAGTCTTGTGGCTCTTCTCTGTACCCTCTCCAATTTATCAGCAGCCTTCTTCAATTGTGGAATCAGGAATGGAACACAGGATTCCAGCAGCAATCTCCCCAGTGCCAAATACAGAGGTAAAATAACCTCTCTGCTCCTACTTAATATTTCTCTGTTTATGCATCCAAAAATTTCATTAGCCCTTTTGTCCACAGCGTCGCACTGGGAGCTCATGTTCAGCTAACTATCCTCCATGTCCCTCCAAATATTTTTCAGAGGCCCTGCTTCCCAGGATCAAGTTCCCCATCGTGTAAGTGTAGCCTATGTTCTTTGTTCCTAGATGTATACACTTCCATTTAGCCACATTGAACTGCATATTGTTTGCTTGAACCTAGCTTACCACGCAATCCATATTGCTTTGTAGCAGTGACCTGTCCTCTTTATTATTTACCACTCCATCAGTTTTTGTGTCATCTGCAAACTTTATCAATGATTTTATGGTTTTCTTCCAGGTCATTGATAAAAATGTTAAATAGTGGGACCCCACTAGAAACATACCCGTTTGATAATTCCCCGTTTACAATTCATTTCAAGACCTGTCAGTTAGCCAGTTTTTAATCCATTTAGTGTGTGCCATGTTAATTTTATATCTCTATATTTTTTAATCAAAATGTCATGCGGTACCAACTCAAATGCCTTACAAAAGTCTGAGCATATTACATCAACACTATAACCTTTATCAACTAAAAGGTTGTAATCTTATAAAAATAGATCAAGTTAGTTTGACAGGATCTATTTCCCATAAACCCATATTGATTGGCATTTATTATATTACCCCCCTGTAATTCTTTATTAATCAAGTCCCATATCAGGTGCTCCATTATCTTGCCTGGGATCAATGTCAGCCGGACAGGCCTATGATTACCTAGGTCATCTCATTGACCCTTTTACAATATTGGCACAACATAGTCCAAGTGACGGCCTGGTGGTGCAGGTGCAGCAAAGATGAAAGGGGCATATTTGACACTTAACTCACGGTGCATTTGAACTAAAAAAGCCTGACCATGCAACTCTGATTTATAGAACTGGTTGTATTGACTTCAATAGGCCTACTTGGGTAAGTAAGGACTTACTGATGTGAATAAAGATTGCAGGATTGGCCCTTGGTGCTGTTTTAACCCCTTAATACGTCCTTTCTGGGTCACTCACCCCAGCATTTGACTGGTCAGAAGAATTATCTTTAAAATATTTTCATCTCCTGGGGCAAGACCCAGGTTGCTACCAGCACTCAAAGAAAATATCAGCTGCCCTTCCTGGCTCATCTAATGCTTGAGGGGTGTGCTATGTATGCCAGGGGAGAGAGCCCGCACAACTTCCTGCACCCCACTGAAGCCCTTAACAAGGCCTTGTGCATTGTGGGGAAATTTCCTCAGTATGCTTTGTCTCCCAAGAGAATGTGTGAGTATGCTGCTCTTGAGCACCTCCTGCTGGGTGCTTAGCGGGGCAGTACTGGCTTGATGAGGCACAGCTGCACTTCTTGGTCAGCACAGCGGAAGGGAAAGTGATGTAGTACTGACCTCCGAGTTGCAGAAGAGAGTACTAGAATTCTCCAGGCCTCCTCCAGAATCTGTGATTAAGGACCTTGCTCTTCTACGGGATAATAAATATACAGCTAGAATTTCAGAAAAATAAAAAAAATGAATGGCCACTTTTAAATATTTGGGAGTAGTGGGTGAAATCTATTACCACTTGCCCCCCGTTCCATTTTGAGGTACAGTATCTAAAACCAGGCTGCATTCGGTTTCTCATTTCCAAAAGTCATTCATGTACCTTTAAATGAGGTTCAAAATATTTTGTGTGACATCCTGGCCCCATTCAAGTCGATAAGACGTTTGCACTTGACTTGAATGGGGCCAGGAGTTCACCATTTCTGCGTATGGGAAGATATATATGTGGATATCAGCGTAATATACATGCAATATTTACCTATATAAAGAATAAGCATCTTTCAAGCTCTATCCTAGGATCCTGGAATAAAACACATGTAGAAGGAAAACCTGCTGATCTCTCAAAATGTCAGAAGAAACGATTTCAGATCGTTAGGAAATGGTAAAAATTACTCCAGTTCATTTATGTGCCAATTTTCCCATTAGTATTCAAGCACCGGCTTTCTGTAGCTGCAAAGTGACTGATTTGGCCTCAAGGGCCTGCTAATGAAGAACAATAGCTTTTTGGATAATATTATTAGTACACTATTTACCTTCTGAACTGAATGTAATCTGGTTAGTTCATTCCAAAGGGGAGAAGAAGAAGAAAATAAATAAAAAAGTAGAACTGCAGGAATAGTTAGATAGACTTTCCTTTTTCAGATATAGTGCCACGCTGTCAGCACGTAACTGCTAAACGTGAATTAAAATAAAATACAACTGTATTTCAGTTGTCAATAGTTAGGCACTTAATGCTTATGGTCTCATTCGTATTGACATAGCTTCCCCTCCGAGCCCTCAGAATTAAACATAACCACGTGGAAGCCATAGTACTGTAGTAGCTTTTAAAGCACGATTCACCATTGAGTTCAGTGGGAGTTGAGGGCACTGAGCATGTCTCTGGAAGGGATCAGCACCTTCCAAGATCTGCCTTTAATCCCTGAGCACACTTCCTGGGGCTGTCTGTGATGAAGGGCCCGATCCTGCACTCTTAACTCAGGCAAAGCTTTCATTGGGAATTTTGGCTGAGTCACGTCTGAAGGATCGGGCCTGAAGTAACTTCCCCTCCCCGTCGTAAACATTTCTGATGTGAGAGGGTAGCAGCAACTACATTCCACCATAGCTGGAGCAGGGGAAACTCTGGCTGAGGAGGACACTATGGCAAACCCCCTTCTTGTACAAGCCTCATGGGATCTTTAATGTCCAGGCAAAGCAGGAAGTACCTTGGTTTTTAAATTCCCATCTGAAAGAGGAAAGAATAAATAAGTTTTGCATGGGGTGGGATGTCTACTGAGGGGTTGGAATGATCACTGGAGGAAGCACACACCAAAATTAAGTGCATAGAGGCAGGCGGAGGAGTGGGGTGGGTTGTGAACAGGTACAGTTGGAGACTGGATTTTCAGAAATATAGCCCTGAAAGAGGAGGTTGGATGCCTCTCTTTTGCTTCTAAAAAGCATTCAAGTCTTGTGGAGCACAGGAGTTTGTTAGAGGATATTAATGAGCTGGAAAGGCAGACAGAGTGTGGCAGCTGTAAGGAGATATTGAAGACATTTCAGATTATCTGGGGCAACGTCTCCACTTGTAATCATGAGCGAGATCACTGAGAGTTTTGTGAAACAAAAATTCTATCAAATAGCAGCAACTGTCTCTGAATTTAGCAGGGTTTCTTCCCCCCACAAGGCACTTTAAAAAGCAAGCAGGGCAGCCTGTTAGGAGGAAATTGATTAATTTTTAAATACCAGTAAATTGTCTCCACTTACTGAGGCAGACAGAGAGAAAGAGCGAGAGAGAAATACAATTAATCCCTTCGATTCAGGAGATGCAGGCAGTTTACTCCTGACAGTCTGGGAAATCTCCTGGTCTGAATGCCGATTGGAATGGGAAGTCTGGAGAAAACATTTCAAAGAATTTCAGGAACTGCTCACATGGATGGCAGAGCTCACCAGCAACTGTATTCCTAAACCCAGCTAGGCTATCCTAGAACATAGGTCAGAGTAATCAATTTCACCAATCTTACTAAATTCCTGCAAAAGAACTTAGACAGGGTGTTTGATATCTGGCCACTTCTGGAAGAAGCAGCGATTTTCCTGGTGATCCTGATGTAACACAGGCTACATTTGAACTGCTGTACCTGGTTGAGACAGGCAGTGAATACCATGGTTCAGCCTTTAGAAATGCCCTCCTTCCGTGTTTCTTAGGGCAACTGGCAGGTCAGTCCGTGTGCAACGTGCCCATTGATTTCAATGGGCGTTCCAATCACAGCCTGAGGACAGAATTAACTGTGAAACTCAGTTAGGTCTCTCTAATGCCACTTACTATGTTATGACCCGTATTGGTACAAATTCTGCCTTCAGTGACCTGTGTATGGCTCCCAGTGATTTCAAGGGGAGCTGTGTGTGTGTGCAGAATTTGGCCCATTTGGGTGTAATGGTATGTCTGCTCTGGATACGATGGTGTCTAGGGCTAGTGTGGATACATGAGGAGAGCAGGGAGAAGATGCAAGGCACTTTCCCCGCCCTACCTTTCTCACCCCACATGGGGCCAGATCTAATAGCAATCAATCAATCCCGGAGCATGGGGACTGCGCTCTTCTAGTGCATTCAGGGATGTAAATCACCCCAAAGGGGCCAAGGAAGAGGCAGGGCCAACGCTTCCCCACCCTGCCTTGGCTCATGGATCCGGCTAGGTGAACTGGAGAAGGACTGATGGTGCCTCTTGAGACACAATGCCTGACTATAGTGCAGGTAAGATTGCTTGCTATGCCCTCAATAGGGAAAGTAGGCCTGGATCCAGAAAAAAAGAGAACAGCCAGAAGTTTTTTGAGACTGGGCACATGGCAGAAGGAATATTAGCCTGACTGTATCACAAATGGAGACATCTTAATGGTCTCTGAGTAACTGTAATTTCTTCATCATCTCCTGACAGCTATCGCTCCCTTTTCTTTTCAGATCAAGGCTGGCCCTGCCACACTAGAAAGAAGGGGAAAGAACAAATAAATGAGACATAGGAATAACATTTTTCTGGTGTCACAAAGATTTTTATTTTGTGGACAGATCAAAGACAAAGACACAAACCTTTCTGAGTACCCTGACCTTCCCTGGAACCATCTCCACCTAGGCTAGAAGAAGGGTTGTGAATGGAGGAGGTCTCGCACAGGTGATCAGTCGCTCTGATCAGACTCACGTCTTGATGGAGTTGGAGTTGACTTCTATAAGTCTCTGAAAGATGCACACTCTCTCAGACCTCTTCCAATGTTCAGTTAGACTTTGTCCTTAGGGATTTTTTCTGTGACAATTGGAGACATTCCCAACATTGGAGAAAAAAAACCCCAAAAGACAGACCTAGAAGACTGCAAATCATGTAATCCAATTTCATTATTAAGCCTAGATAACAAGATTAGAGTTAAAATATTTACATGCTACTTAATTCCTGTTCTACCATGGATTATTCACAGGCTTTGTTTTAGGAAAATCAGCTAACAGTAGCATTAGGTAACCCATCAGTGTTGCCAAGAGTTCAGTGCCTGGAGGCATTCGCCTTGTATTTGATGTGAGAAAAGTTTTGGGCAATTTTTTTTATTTGTTTGCTAGAAAAATTAAATTT